GTTCAGTGCATTAGCCTGCTGTGTGCCCTTTGCCTGGCAATGCAATAAAGCTGTTCTTTCCTACTCCACCCAAAACTCTGTCCCTGAGATTTAGTTCAGTGTTGGCGTTCAGAGGCTGGATTCAGTTTTAGCATTTCTAGGATCTCAGAGGGATGGTTAGGGAGATGTACCTTCCTCACTGTATATTGTTTTAACATTTTTCCAGCAAAGTGTTATTACTTTTTTAATTGAAAATAAAAGTATAAAGACGTGATTGCTTTGATGGGTTTACTCACACGGGGGGTGCAAGGCCCAGGAGAAGCCCGGGGGTGCGCCTGCAGGACTGAAGGGGAGCTTTACGGGAATGGGTTCCCATGCGGCACTAAGGAGAAAGGTCTGGGGTCTAGAGAATCTGTGCAGCTCTCAGGGGGCCCGAAGTATCAGAGGAGGAGGAGGAACGGGCCCCAGCGCGGCCTTCACGCCGCCCGCGACACCGCAGAGAAGGGAAGGGGGCTCGTGCCGGTCAGAAGGGTTTCCAGGTCTGATAGGTTTGAATGAAGGTTAGCTGCTGGAGCTTCCTGAATGACAGGTAGAACGGAACACACACTGCGTGAGACAGCGGAGCAGCAAGGCTGGCGGGAGGAGAATACCCGAGGACACAGGTGACTGTTCCCATCAGGGCCCCGTGTCAGCGCCTGAGCAGGACCCGGGACAGCCCAGGCCCCTCTCCGGTGCACCCTGCCAGCACAGGATGGGACAGACAGACTGGGGCGGGGGACGGGAGGTCGCAGGAGCCCCGAGGAGGGCCTCCCACCCCACCTGGGCCAGGCACGCGCTCCGCCTAGCCCACAGGGACGCCTCTCACAAACATCGGAGAGGAGAGAAGGGGTAGAAGTCAGGACACATACCTTCCAACACGGACACACACATATCCCTGTGGATTCTACCTGCTTTATTATTACTTATTCCTTCATTGTTTAGAAATGAAATGAAAAATTCAAATTATTGTATCTCTTACATTTCATTTCAGGAGGAGGAAAACCTTTTAATGTGGCTGTGCAGCATGTGGGATCTTAGTTCCCCAACCAGGGACTGAACCCGGATCCCCTATGTTGGGAGCAAGCAGTCTTAACCACTGGACGGCCAGGGAAGTCCCTAGGAGGAGGAAAACTCTTAGTAAGCAAAGCTGAATAAAAATAGAATGAAGAGCTTTGCAACAGCCTTTCTGAGTTCTTTGCATGTTAATCTGTATGACAACCATCTGCCACAGGAATTTTACAAAAAGAGATTATCTGTTTTTCTGAGTTTATAGATGTTGAGGCGGGGACACACACATTTGAAGTCCTTGACTTAAAGCCGTGGTTCCATCTGCCCATGAAGCTATACTCTTTGGGAAGCGGAGGCCCCTCAACTGCTCAGCAGGGAGGTGGCAGTGGGGAAGGCAGGGCTCCTGATGGGTCAGGATGGGGGAGGACCTTGCTCACTCCCAGACCTGGGGGCACAGGGCGGGGGTCTGAGCTTTGAGCCCTGGCATCAGGCAGATTCTTTTTTTTTCCCCCCAGCTTTATTGAGGCATCACTGACAAACAAAAACTGTATATATTTAGGTTGTACAATGTGATTTTTTAAGGTGTACAAGATGGTTTAATATACATATGCATTGTGACATGCTTACCACATCAAGCTCGTGAACACAACTACCACCTCACATAAAACCACTTTGTATGGGCGGGTGAGAACAGTTAAGATCTACTCTCTCAGCAAACTTCAAGTACACAATTCAGTGTTGTCAGCTAGCATCGCCATGCTGCCTGTCAGATCCCTAGCTCTAATAGGAAAACTCACACGCGTTCACCAGCAGCTCCCCATTTCCCCCACCCCCAGGCAACCACTGATCTACTGCCTGGTTCTATGAATCCAGCTGGTTTCGATCCCACATATAAGTGAGATCATACGGTATCTGTCTGTGTCTGGCTTATTTCACTTAGTATAAAGTCCTCCACTTTCATCCACATAGCAAATGGCAAGCTTTCCTTTTTCATAGCTGAATAATATTCCTGTCTGTGTGTGCATGTGCGTGTATGTATCTTATTTTCTGCATCCAGTCATCAGCTGATGAACACTTAGGCTGTTTTCATATCTCGCCTACTATGAACACAGAGGTCCCTCCTTATCCATGGGGGACACTTTCCAAGATCCCCAGCAGATGCCTGAAACCACAAACTGTGGTATGAACCCTGTAAGCACCCTATAATGTACTGAACCCTATAAGTACTATGTTTCTGCCTATACATATATATCAAAGATAAATTTATCAGACAGTGAGAGATTAATAATAATAAAATACAATTATAATAATATAATACATGTAGTATCTCTCTCTCTCTCAAAACATCCTACTGTACTGTATTCACCCTTCCTTTTTTTTTTGGCTACACCACGTGGCTTGCAGGATACATGATCCTAGTTCCCCAGCCAGGGATTGAACCCACGCCCCCAGCAGTGGAAGCATGGTGTCTTAACCACTGGACTGCCATAGGAGTCCCACCTCACCCTTCTTCTTATGATGATGTGAAATGAGAAATGCCTAAGTGAATGGTGTAGGCACTGTGATGGAGTGTGAGGCTGCTATAACCTTCTGACCATGTGTCAGATGGAGGACCACATGCTCCAGGTGACCCTGGGTGGATGTCAGGATCAGATGATGTCATGTTGGTAGGTGGGGCCTCAGGATGTTGTCATGTCAGTGGGTGGGGCCTCAGGAATGCCATGTCGGTGGGTGGGACCTCAGGATGTTGTCATGTCAGTGGGTGGGGCCTCAGGAATGCCATGTCGGTGGGTGGGACCTCAGGATGATGTCATGTCAGTGGGTGGGGGCCTCAGGAAGGAATGAGCTCATTATGCTACTCAGAAGAGTGTGCAATTTAAAACTGATGTGATTTTTATTTCTGGAATTTTACCATTTAAGATTTCTAGACTACAGTTGACCAAGCGTAACAGAAGGCATGGGAAGTGAAACCACAGATAAGCAGGGATTTAACACCGCAGTGGGCAGGGGATGGGGGTATCTCTGAGATCCTGACTTCATTTCCTTTGAACACAGGCCCAGCAGTGGGATCGCCAGATCACGTGGTGGTGCTATTTTTAATTGTTTAAGGAACCGCCCTACTGCTTTCCCACCAGTAGGGCAGGAGGGGTCCCTTTTCTCCACACCCTCATCGACACCTGTTACCTCTTTTCATTTTCACGACAGCTGTTCTCACGACCCGGGAGGCGGGTGACAGCTCAGGCGGTGCTGATTTGCATTTCCCTGGTGATTAGTGATGTTGAGCACTTTTTCACATACCTCATGGCCATTTGTACATCTTCTTTGTGAAAAGGTCTCCTCAGGTTTTCTGCCCATTTTTTAATCAAGTTATGGGGCAGATGCTCAGTGCCTGACACATACCTTCCCCCACCCCCATACTCTTCCTCCCTAAAGCAATCAAGTGTAACCCACCCCCTCCACTCCAGCTTCCTCTGGTGGGGGGAGGTCAGACCCGTCTCCCAGGCTGGCGGGAGGGGATGAGGAACTCCTCGGACACACCACCCAGATTAGTGAGAGCGACGCAGACACTTCCTGCCCCTCGTCACTTGCCTGGCTTCTCTTAGTTTCTCCTTATGCCACTAAGAGTTAAACAGAACTTCTCCTAACTTCCCAACAACTCAATCCTCTGTCAGGCAAGCTTCTCTGAGCACCCTGGGAATGGCCAGAGGGACTCGTTAACCAAAACATTTTGTGTCTGGAGTCTCTCCTTGTTAACGGTGTCAGACAGATGATCAATAAGCCAGCCCGTTCAGAGATGCCAGCCTGAATATTCCCAGGAAAGAGCAATTGGATTACTACTGTAACTAATGAATCCTGTGACGAGAAGTTTACTGCCACAGACTGAGGTTCGGCACAGGAGACCGGCCACCCTCTCTCATCACAGAAAAAGAGTTTTGTGGGAGCTTCTTCTGACACTGGCTTGTAGCTGTTCCTCCCAGACTATATATTTTCTTTGTCTGCGGGGACCTAATTACAGCACCTGGATGGTTCCTCCAAACCAGCCACCTGCTGCATCTCATGCCATTCAGTGGGAGGTCTGGACACTGCAAACCAGTGTATTTCACACCTGACACTTGACTGTGAACCTGAAGGATTCTGCGATGGGGATCCTTGCTCCAGGGACACATGGGCCATCCATATGTTTCTAAGATTACCTGTACTAATTCATTCATGACGTATGTCATCGTAACCGCTTCCCTCCTGTCTTCCCTGTTCCAGGCATCATCCGTGGTATCTGAGGTATCTCTGACCTCATCCTCACAGCACCCCCTTGCGACAGGCAGGTCTGTTTTCATTTTTCAGGTGAGCAGGGCGAGGCTCCGGGAAAACACCACCTGCTTCAGGTAACGCAGGAGCTGGCGCTGGAACTGGGTTAAACCCACACTCCTCTGACAGCGAGCCTGTCCTTCCTGCCCTGTTGGATAGTGCTGACTCCTTCCATCCATCCATCCATCCATTCATTCATCCCTCCATCTACCAACCAGGCACTGGAGGAGCACCTACAACAGACACGGGATTCAGGGGACTCAGAGACACATCCCGTCTGAGCAGATCTACAGACGGAAATTACTGCGGCTTCTGGTTGGAAACTTGGATTCTTCTGAGGCCCTACACCTGCCAGACAAAAATTCAGCACCAAAGCTGCTGTTCTTATTCTTCTTGTCACTCCAGCGTGCATAACTCTTTGCGACCCCATGGACTGTAGCCCACCAGGCTCCACTGTCCATGGCATTGTCCAAGCGAGACTACTGGAGTGGGTTGCCATTTCCTTCTCCAGGGGATCTTCCCGACCCAGGGATCAAACCCTTGTCTCCTGCACTGGCAGGCGGATTATCACTAGTCCACCAGGGAAGCCCTAGAACCGAAGTGTTTGAAAGCAAATGAGCAGCACCACTGCCCACAGGCACCCTTGCCCAGCACCCCAGCCCCCTTACCATCTCCGGGTTTGCCTGGGTTGGTGGGCTCAGGGGTGCTCAGAGGCCTGAGGGGAATGATGATTTCATCCGCATTAACCCCTTCCTCTGCGTGCTTCTCGGAAACGTGGGAGAGGAGTTCCGACTGACTTGGTGAGAAAAGGTTACAACATTTACACATGAAGATGGCTGGGTTTTCTGCAAAGAAAAAGAAACAAAACAAAAGCAAAATATGTTATTTCATCTTCCCAAAAAACAATGGTTGCATCCAACTGCCAAAGAAAAAATACTGAAGGCTGCTCGTCTGAGCAATGGCCAGCCTCCCACAGACTGCATCTGGCCAGGCAGCTCGCTTCTTGCTTTATGTGGCCCTGGCTGCCAGAAAATTCTTTCTTCGGTATTTCACGAGGCAGTGGGCCGACACAGCGCTGCCACAGTGAGGGTGGAGCCCAGGAGGCACCCAGGTCCCAGAAACCAAGTCCCTCTCTGCCTTCAAAGAAAGGGTTTCTCCACCAAGCAGGCGGGGTAATGACCTATGAGAATTCTTTACCAAATAACACATGAAATGGAAATTTAACAAAGCAGAACATTGCTTCATCAATGCAAATCTCTCGTGAATACCGCCAATCAATATTTTATTTTTTCCAAGAAATGCTTCGTTCCTAAGGAACCCAAAGTGCTTCCAAAACAAGAAGAGATTACAGTGATACATTTCTTTCTTCATAAGAGGCCATGTCATTTTCAATGTGTGTCCTGCTGACCCCACAATGACCCCTACAATTTAGGCAAAGGGGGGTTAGTCATCCCTATTCCGTAGCAGAGGACACTGAGGCCGTGAGAAGAAGCAACCTGCCCAGGCCAAAGCATGGACTCTGCCGCCGGCTTCTGACATGCCCTCCATTTGGTTGCAGACCATGAACTGAGTTGCCCCCAGGTTAAAGCTAAAACGCTTATCCCTGTAGTCAACCGAATCTGAAATGAAAATCACTCCAGAGAGGAGCATAATCCCCAAACCACATACCAAGTGCTGTTGTGGTCATTTCAGCGTCTGTGGAGCCACGGCCATGGGGTGGCCCCCAAGTCAGGCATCAGGGACTCAGGGATGAACTGGGCGTGGGGTCCTCCACAGATGAGCCACCAGCCCACTGGGGAGACAGACACGCCCAGAACAACTGCATTGCAACGTTTTCACTGCAACTGTTACCCAAGTAGCCTGGACTTCCTCTTGATTCCTGCTATGCTTTCAGGAGAAAGAGAATTCTGCGACAGGTAACAGAGCGGCACTTGGGGGACAGCAGGGCTCCAGTGAGGCCCCCGGTCCCCGCGCGCACCAAGCACTGTCTGGAGACCACCCAGGTAAAACTACGTGTGCGCCTGCACACGACCAAGTGACGGCACGGCCTGTAACTAGCCTCTGCCCGGGGGCCCCCACAGCCCAAAGGCCTGGGCAGCCGGGGACGCCCCCTGGCCCTGGCCACCTGTGTCAATCGGCACACTTCCCAAATGCCCACCGTGGGTCCAGTGCTGGGTCTGGGGTCCCCGGGGTGCCGGCGGAGACTGACCACACCCGACCCAGGACGATGTCACAGAGGAGAGGATGCAGCGTGGGATGGAGACAGGTGGGGAGGCAGCCCGCAGCTTCGCCGAGACCAGGGAAGCCATGCCCCAGGGAGGCCGGCCTGGCACGCCCCCTGCAGGACCCGTGCCCTAGATGCTGACAGGGAAACGCCTGCCACCAACCAAGGGGCCAAGAGCCCCGAAAACACTCACTAGTGACTCCTGAGCAGTGGTTCTACTTCTCGAGATCTGGCTTCATAATCATCCAAAATGCAAACAAGGGCTCTGCACAGAGATGCTCAACACGGAGGTCATTCAGGACAACAAGTTCCAGAAACCACCTGTGTGCTCCACAGCGAGCATGCCAGGACACGTCCCCCAGAGCAGTTCTGCAAGCTGCTGAGAACCAAAGGGGGAAGAACCCTGGACGGCACGGAAATGCTCAGAATGAACGTTCACTTCTACAGAGTGGGACGCACCACAGCTTGACAGGTACGTGGCTTTGTTCCTAAAGGAGAGACAGATTTACGGGTGGATGGACGGGAGAACAGATGGCCAGGCAGAAAGGATCCTGCCTGCCGGACTCTTTTTTAATAGTCACTTACGGATTTCCTACAACGAGTCTATGCATGCGTTCTCAGCCGTGTCTGTCTGTGATCCCCGTGGACTGCAGCCCACCAGGCCCCTCTGTCCATGGGATTCTCCAGGCAGGAATACTGGAGTGGGTTGCTGTTTCCTCCTCCAGGGGATCTTCCTGACCCAGGGACAGAACCCAAGTCTCTTGAATCTCCTGTTTACATGAGTTTAAAAATCAGGAAGGCTGAGACGCGAGGTGACAGGTACACAGGGCATTCAGGTCGTGGCTCCAGGTGATAAGCGCTGAGTGGCTCGGGCAGGGCAGCCTCCTGCCAAGGCTGCTGCCTCCAGCCTGCCCGGGGTAGCTGTTCGAGGAACGTCTGAGCTGAGATGCTGCTGCAAACAGCAGACACCCTGGGCAGAGGGAAGGCAGAGATACTGGGCTAAGGTGCTAGGAAGGCTTCCCAGAGGAGGCACTGAAAGGATCTCGAAAGCGGCCCTGGGAAGGGCCCTCGGGCGCCCAAGGGCACCAGACTGGGCTCCAGGACCCGCCCCACAACACAACCTCGCGTGCTCCCCAAGCTCTCAGCTACAGGTGCAGCCCTGGGGCTCAGAGAGGCTGGCCTCAGGGGGCACCCAGCTTGACCTGGAGAAGGCAATGGCACCCCACTCCAGTACTCTTGCCTGGAAAATCCCGTGGGTGGAGGAGCCTGGTGGGCTGCGGTCCACAGGGTCGCTAAGAGTCAGACAGGACTGAGCGACTTCCCTTTCACTTTTCACTTTCATGGCAACCCACTCCAGTGTTCTTGCCTGGAGAATCCCAGGGACGGGGGAGCCCTGTGGGCTGCCGTCTATGGGGTCGCACAGAGTTGGACATGACTGAAGGGACTTAGCAGCAGCAGGCCCAAGCTCTACAATGTGCAACATGGCCCCTGGGGTCAGCACTGATGGGACCACACGGCCCCCGGGTCAGCACTGACAGGGACACAGCTACACAACAGCCGGCCAGACCACACGGCCCCCGGAGCCGTGCTGATGGATCAGCTCGGCTCTGCCGTCCTGAGTGCCGCCCTGTCGGCGGAGCAGGCCGAGATGTCCCCCTGGAACGGCGTCCGTGACACGCCCAGGCCTCTGACTCAGAAGGAGGCCGAGCCCTCTGCAGGGACACGCGGCAACCACAGCGCAGACAACGAGACGCCGAAACACGGGACGGGCTCGTCGGGCTGCAGCCCCAAACGGGAAGAACTCTTCATCTACCGAAATAACAACAAAGCCGCTCTTGTCATTTTTTCATAGTAGATGCATATGGAAAAAAAAGGATCTTATAGCCTGAAATATAAGCATAATTATGCTGTCAACTAATTCTGATGAAGATGCTATAATTTGGCTGCATTTTTAGGTTCAATTACTGTGCACTCATCCTTATCAAAAGGACTCGGGAGGGGAAATGGCGTGTTCAGGACAAGGAAAGTCACAGAAGTCTAGAGCCTGAGTACACAATTACTGTGATTTTTTGCCAGTTTGTAACCAGCTACTCTGCACGGTTAAAATGGAAAATCTTAAAATAACCGCATCAACAAGTCCTCGTTTCTGAACCCTGATTTGCAAACACTCCCAGCCTGGAAGAGCCAGGTCCTGCCTGTGACCTCTGACGCCCCCACCTGCTCGCCCTGCCTGGGGACCAGAGACAAATGAGTGAGGGCCTCTGTCCACTCCTCCCAGAAGAAGGTCACAACCTGGACGGGCCTGCAGTCCAGGGGCGGGGGGGGGTGGCCCGGGAGCTCCCCTGGGCGCTGACGGGTCACAGTTACGGGCTGGCCGGGCCCCCCACCCCCGCCTTTGCAATCGGGCAGCCCCTGTGTCGGCTGGAGTGGGTTCGCTCCTGAGGGGCCCCTCCCCACCTCTTGGGCCCCCAAGGAAACCGGCGAAGGAGGTCGGCGCAGACGAGCTGAAGTTACGGGCTCCGGCCAGCTCCCAGCGCATCCAGCCCGGCCCACAGTCAAGGAGAACTCTGCTGCTGTCCTGAGCAAGGGCATCTCCTGTCGGGATGCACAGAGCATGGCAGGATGCAGGCGTTCCAGGTCTCCCGGCCCTCGGTGCCCCCTTTAAAAATCACTGCTATTGATTATTACAGGAGTCACAGGGTGAAGCTGTGGAACAGTCGGATAACACAGAAGCATTCGGGGTAGAGACAACACCTGACCATCCCCTGGGAAGGAGAGTATCCCGGAGCATGGGGCTTCTGCCGTGCATCCGGGAGGGAAAGAGGCAGGGGCACCCCACGCACATGCCCCTGACGCCCCCCGGGGGGGGCTCCCAGCACCCTGGGGCCTCTTCCCTCCCTCCGCCCCCAGTGCTGGGCTCCCCACACAGGAGGGAGACGCGATATCAGGTGTCAAGACAGGGACCCCGAACATAAACTGCAAAGTCGTTGTCTCACAGAAGCGGTGTTAGCAGCGGCCCCACGTCTGAGAGGTCTCTGCGTCCCGCAGGGCTGGGGCGAGGCGGCTCCCGGGCGGGGCAGCAGGGTTCAGTCCTGGCCCCTGCCCACCTCCGGGAGGAGGCAGGGGTCAGCCCCAGGCCCCACACCACCTGCCGCCTGCCCCGCCCGGCCCAGCGTCGGCCATCCTCCTCTCAGCCACGCTGCCGCTAGGAACACAGGAGGGCTGGGCAAGCGCCAGGGGAACCGATGGCTGCAAACAGCCTGAATATTTATTGATAGCCATAAGGAGACAAAACGCCCATTACCAGACTGTGAGATTTCTCTGCTTAAAAACTGGAGTGTAAAAAAGAGCTCTCTTCCTCTCCTCAATCAGTATGTCATGCTCTGCTTTTTAACCGTCTTTTACTTGGATTGATCAACTTTAAATAGAGTTCAACAGACAAAACTATCATCCTATTAAACTGCCGACCTCATGAAAAGTCGGACGGCAGATTCTTCGGGGGTTAGGTTTTTGTCCTCCTGTTGTTCACTCGCCCTTAAATTATTAAATCCGTACGAGCCGGCAGTATCCCAACAGGAGCAGAAGCATTTTAGTGACGCAGCCAGACCGCCGTCACATCCA